CATATATCTCAAAGACAGAGGCTGCCCACGGGGGTCAAGCCATGCCTGTTGCTTCCTTTCTGCCCACCAAAGGAGCCATTGATGACATGAAACCTTCCCTCCTCCCCCCCAGTTTCCTAGGACAATGGCTCATGGAATATCAGGCAAGACTAAAGGAAGTGGGAAATCCATAGTATGTATGTGTCTCTGGACACAGCTAGTTAGGAGATACAATTAGGTTGACTACTGTAGTTAAAGGGTATTGGACAAATAGGGTCAGTAAAGCTACTGAAATTACTAGAACTACTAGAATTTTGGTCCCAGTTCTGGAAGTCCCAAGTGCTTCCAAAACGTCACATCTATCACACCCATAGCCCAATCACTTTATCATGCTCACCAAGATAAGCAAAGTGACACCTTTAGAGCAGGGCTCTGCAAACTTGGCAAGTTAAGACTTGTGAACTTCAACTCCCAGGATGGCTGGCGAATTATGGGAGTTGAAGTCCACAAGTCTTATTAAAATTGCCAAGTTTGCCTTTAGAGCAATGTCAGAAGCCAGGATCTCCTCCCCACGAGTAGAAAAAAAGGGAGGAAATCCCAGAGTAGGGGAACGTTTCCTAACCACAGGGATGATGTTGTCTTCATCTCCAAGCATGGAGAGAAAGAAAAGAATACTTGCAAGCTCATCCAGGATGGGGAGATAGCACTGACTGATCAAGCAAGATGTTACAGTGATTGCTTATAAAATGTATGCAAATTTCCATGAAAAACCAGTAACTACATTGGGGTGGGGGTGGGGGTGGGTGAGCAGGTCAGGCTTCAAGTCAGTCTCAACACATGACTTTCCAGTTTCCTGGGCAGCACGTTTGAAAATCATTTGCCATTGCCCTTTTTCCTAGGGCTGAGAGAGATGGACCAACTTTGTGCCAAGATCAGAGACTGTGATCAGAGGGTGTTGCAAATGACACAATCGTGAGGACTGGTTATAACTACTTGTGCAGCACTGTTGTAAGCTTGGTCACGGAACAAGTGCTAGTTAAACAAGTGGCACAAAGGGGGTGGGAACCTGATCATGTCTAGACAACCAGATACAGACAGGACAGTTTTTTTCCCCTCTTGCCATCCCTCTGCTAAACACCTAATTCTTGCAGTTCTGCTGTATATATAAACATATATATATATATATATATATATATATATATATATATATATATATATATATATATATAATTAGCTGTAATATTTATCCTTATCTTCTTTACTTCCCCCTTTTATTGATTTTATGATGATGATTCTCTCTGTTGCCCTGCACGTACACTGAGTGCTTCTGAACCAGAGACTAATTCCTTGTGTGTCTAATCACACTATAGAACAGGACTAGGAATAAGAATAGAATAACAGAGTTGGAACGGGACCTTGGAGGTCTTCTAATCCAACTCCCTGCTTAGGCAAGACACTCTATAACATTTGAGACAAATGGTTGTCCAATCTCTTCTTAAAAACTTCCAGTGTTGGAGCATTCACAACTTCTGGAACCAAGTTGTTCCACTGATTAATTGTTCTGTCAATAAATTTCTCCTTTAATTCCAGGTTGCTTTTCTACTTGATTAGTTTAGCTTCTTGTCCTGCCTTCAGGTGCTTTGGAGAATAGATGGACCTCTTCTTTCTGGCAACCCATGACATATTGGGAAACTGATATGTCACCCCTAATCCTTTTTATTAAACATACCCAATTCTTGCAACCGTTCTTCCTATGTTTTAGCCTCCAGTCCCCAATCATCTTTGTTGCTCTTCTCTGCACTCTTTCTAGTCTAGAGTCTCAACATCTTTTTTACATCGTGGTGATGTAAATAAAGTATTCTATTCAATAAATGATCATCTATACAATTCACATTCTGCTGGTTTCTAATCTGGCACAATTAACCACGTACACCTAACTAGCTCTGTATATGGTAAATATGTTCCATAATTCTACATTTTATCTGAACAAAGAATATATAAATAGTATTAATAAATACATATTTATACTCAATCTATTAATTTTTTATGGCTGAATGGAAATAGTCACTACAATTTCAAAGGTCCCTGACAAGGCATTAGAACATAAAATGTGCCTTGCTGGATCAGATTCCTGATCCATCTAGTCCAGCAGTCTGTTCTCACGCCAACAGCAATCATGTCCTAGCTATAATTCATTCCTACGGGTGGAAGTACAACTTTTGCTCTTAACATTGAGTCACCTCCCCTCTACCATACTTAATCCTGCATTTAGCAGTTAACAGCAGTAATCTGTTCCTGAAGTGGCAGCAGGTTTTAGTCTCCATCCAGTCCAGACCTTGGTTTGTGAACATGCTATCATTCTCTTCTTTATGTAACTGGGAGGAAGGGATGCAAATTACTGTATTGTACATGTCTGTATGGTTAGGTTCTCCCCAACATACACCCCTTCTCTCATGAAGCAACTTCTCTTTCATGAATTCAGACATGGGGAAAATATAATAAAAGCAAATCTGACCTAGACTTAATTCTCCAACAAAATTCCACTCAACTTTTTTCTGTCCCTTGCACTAGACTTCTGAATACCAGTAAATGAGAGGAGCGCTTGAAATATTTTATCATGCCTTCACATGAAACGCAAGATTCTTTTTAATCAAACAAAATTTTGGTTTAAAAAAGTATACTGTGTTTTATTTTCACAACATGCTTACCCATTACCTTATTCAACCAAATTTATTTATCAAATTTCAAAGGCTGCTTGACTCCATAATAACCATTCAGTGCAGTACACAATATTACGAAGTATAATACATTATAAACAGCAGAAACTAAAGACAAATATTCACAAAGAACAATAAAATCAAAACCCTCAAGATCACATATTCTCCAAAAGGTTGACCAGGTGTGTAGAAAAAGCCAAGTCATCAAGACTTATTTAAAACCAGGTCAACAGCTATTTGAATCTCTGGAAGGAAACTATTCCAGAGGAAAGGAAATGCCTACTTCCTGGGTTCTATCAGGGGACACTAATTTCTGGATTTGCAATGCATACAAAATAATAAATCATATGAAACAATCAACCAGAGGCTTGATTTGCATATTTTGTTAGGCTAAATTCAGTGCTGTATAAGTAAAACTTATTAGACCAATCTTCCTTAGAATTTTTCCACTCTCATTCCCATGATCATCTCTTTCCATAATACACCTCACTATTGGAGAAAGGGAAGACAATTTATCAGCCTGATATCAATTTCAACAAAATGTCCAGCCAGCATGACCAACACTGTGCACTCTTGGGACAATCAGAGTTGCAGCTCATCAAAATTGGGAAGGCTGAACCATGTTGAAATAGAGTCTTCAAAAATGAACCAAAAAGAGCAAAGAAAAAGAATCCAAAGACCAACACATCAGCCAATCTCATATGAATCCTTTGGATGGATTCAGAGCAAATCATAAAATGCAAACACTATTAAAATAATACAGTGATATCTAGATATTAGCCTAGATTTATAAGAACCAACTCTGGATAATCTCATTCCATTCTTTTAATCTATTAATTCCTCAGCAAATTGTGAGAAAGCTGTAGATCTACTCAGCCAAGCATCCAATAAAACACCCATGAAATTCTCATTAGCAAGCTGGATATATGGTTTGCAAGTTTATTAGGTGGATCCAAAATACCATACAAAACACCTCCCCATTCAACCTAAACGAATCTTGGTCTGCATACATGGCATTTTATAAATACCACAGAAAAGGAATTGGAAGAACTATAAATTTGTAAAGTTCAGCAGGACTTGGAAACCCTAGAAAATGGAAAACGTTCGAAAACTAACTTAGAGGTGGGTTGAAAAATAAAATAAGATTAATGTAACAAAAAACAATGTTTATGTCACAGAGGGGAAACTGAAACTGAAGACACAGCATGTGTGAAAATAGTGTAGAAAGCTGACTACTAACAAGTTGGATAAGTGTGAAGCATATAATTTGGCTCCTAAAAATTAAAATTGTGTTTCAGGCTGCATAAAAGAATACTTTTAAAAACCATTAAATTATATTTTGCATTGGCAGATCCCCATTCTAGTATGGGAGCCATTTCAGGACAGGAGTGCAAAGAAGGGGAGTGAGACCCACGGAGTCCAGAAAAAATATCCTAGAGCAGCGTTTCTCAACTTGGCCAGTTGAAGATACATGAACTTCAATTCCCAGAATTCCTCAGCCAGCATTGCTTTAAGATAGTTGGACTCTTAAAGCATAATGGCTGGGGAATTCTGGGAGTTGAAGTCCAACTACCTTAAAGCATAGTGGCTGGGGAATTCTGGGAGTTGAAGTCCAACTACCTTAAAGCATGGTGGCCGAGAAATACTGGGAGTTGAAGTCCAACTAC